TGGGGGCGAAATCCCAAAAAAAATTTGGGATTTGGGGCAAGAAACCCAAAATTTGAGGGGTCAGGGGACGCCCCAAAAAATGGGATCAAAAATGGGGGAGGTTTGGGGGGTCAGGGAGGTCAAAAAGGGGCTCAGGAGGCAAAAAAAAGGGATTTAAGACACAAAAAAATGGGTGGAAAATTCCCAAAAATTGATATTGGGGAGGGGAACCCAAAATTTGAGGGGTCGGGAATGGCCGGAAAAATTTGGGGGTCAAAAAACCCGAAAATTTGGGGTAAAGAGGGGAAGAAAAAAGTCAAAAAGGGTTGGAAGACCCCAAAAAATGGGTGGAAAACCCCTGAAAATTGAGCTCCAAGTCCAGGTCGTCGGCCATCGCCTCTCTGGGGGCAAAATCCCCAAAAAAATTGGGGATTTGGGGCAAGAAACACAAAATTTGAGGGGTCGGGAATGGCTGCAAAAATTTGGGGGATGGGGAGGGTCAGAAAATGCAAAAATTTGGGGGTAAAGGGGGGAAGAAAAGAGTAAAAAAGGGATTTAAGACCCCAAAAAGTGACTGGAAAACCCCAAAAATGGAGATCTGGACACCCCAAAAATGGGGGAGGGTGAGGGATTTGGGGGGGACCCCAAAAAGGGGCGATTGGGGGATGGGGAGGGTCAAAAAACCCGAAAATTTGGGGGTTAAGGGGAAAGAAAAAGGTCAAAAAGGGATTTAAGACCCCAAAAAATGGGTGGAAAAACCCCAAAAATTGATATTAAAATACCCCAAAAATTGGGGAGGTTGAGAGATTTGGGGAAGACCCCAAAATTTGGGAATTGGGGGATGGGGACCCCAAAATTGGGGTCCTGGGGAACGTGGCCGAGGCCCCCGCGTCCCCCGGCTCCAAGTCCAGGTCGTCGGCCATCGCCTCTCTGGGGGTGAAAAAACAAAAAAAATTTGGGATTTGGGGCAAGAAACACAAAATTTGAGGGGTTGGGAATGGCCGGAAAAATTTGGGGGTCAAAAAAACCCAAAAATTTGGGGGTAAAGGGGGAAAAAAAAAAGTCAAAAAAGGGTTGGAAGAGCCCAAAAAGTGGGTGGGAAACCCCAAAAATTGATATTAAAAGACCCCAAAAATTGGGGATGTTGAGAGATTTGGGGGGACCCCAAAATTGGGAATTGGGGGATGGGGAGGGTTGGAAAGGCTGAAAAATTGGGGGTAAAGGGGGAAGAAAAGAGTAAAAAAGGGATTTAAGACCACAAAAAGTGACTGGAAAACCCCAAAAATGGAGATCTGGACACCCCAAAAATGGGGGAGGGTGAGGGGTTTGGGGGGGACCCCAAAAAGGGGCGATTGGGGGATGGGGAGGGTCAAAAAACCCAAAAATCTGGGGG